CCCCAAGCGCCTCCCAGCCCCCCCCCCCATAGTTGCCCTGCCTGGCCCCAGCTCCTGGCTCTTTAAAAAAAGCCCCTACTCACTGGCTGCTGCTGGGGGGGCAATCCCTGCTGTCCCCCATTGCCCCATGCTGTGTGGAGGGCTCTGTCATAAGCCTCCTGACCCCCATCTGATTTCCCAGCAATTCTGGGAAAGCCTGGCCCCAAGTCCTGGCTCTTTAGTGGCTTTTTTTTTTTCTTTAAAGTCACTGGCTGTTGCAATGGCCTCAGGGCTTCTGAGGGCTCATGGCAGAGCCCCCACACAATGCAGGGCAGTGGGGAGCATCAGGGATGGCCTCCCTGCCTGGCTGGAGCTGGTGAGTCAGGGCTTTTTTTAAGCTTTTTTTTCAAAGAGCTGGGAGCTGGGGCCGGGAGAGCAGGTGGGGGATGGGGGCTCATGACAGAGACCTCCACACAGCATGGGGCAGTGGGGGCCAGCGGAGATCGCCCCCCCACCTGGCAGCAGCCCATGAGTGCCGGGCTTTTTTTTTTCAAAGAGCCAGGAGCTGGGGCCGGGCAGGGCAGCCATGGGTGGGGCAGCCATTGATGGGGCTGGGAGAACGGGCAGGGGATGGGGCTGATTTGGAGATTCGGCGGCAACTGAATCTCTGAACCAGATTCAGCCGAATCAATTTGGGACACTGATTCGAATCACTGAATCAAATCACTGGCCCCCATATCATCTGAATCCAAATCCAAAGCGAATACTAGCCACTTTGCACAGGCTTAATAAATAAACATGTTTAAGGTATGCAGCACATCTGTTGTCTACATATACAAAAGTCCACATATCTGGCAAGGCACTATCAGTATTATTGATATTACAGGTCCTCAAAATACATCTTGTCTCCATTGTATCCTGAACTGGATCAGTGCATTGTTGGTTTACTAGTCCATGTTGAAAAACATTGGCAGTGTAGCATTTCATTACTTTTTTCCAGCATAATCTCACAACACCCCTGAAGCCCCTGTCAGTGGCTGCTCTGAGCAGTGTAAAATGCTTTTTGTTGTTCTATATTTTTACTTAGAAGTAGTGAAGTTTATTTCATGTTAGGCATATGAGACTTTTGTTTTATAAGCTGCATTGCATACAGTCTTAAACCTTTTCTTGTTTTGATACGTGGAAACTGTATTAAAAATCTCAACTATATAAATTATCAAATGCCAGTATATAAACCAGCATGTATTTTGAATAATTCAATGGAAATAGTCATTATATAAAAACAACTACACATATTACATATCCAACCATGAATTAGTACTTCCACCACCCCTTGCTGCAGGAACCTGAAGGAGAGGGACCATAATGAATTGGTTCTAAGGAGCTGGAAGTAGTAGTTTTTGGACACACTGAACAAGCTTGCACAACTCAAGATGACAAGTTGGCACAGCCAGTTCTGTTAAAATTTGTACTAATTCATCCATTATTTTCTTATAAGACTAATGAGATCATATCCAGTGATATTTCTCAACAAAACTTGAACGTTTATCTTCTTGAATACTTACTTGATCTAAAATGAACTACATTCTGATTTTTGTTTTCTAAAGACTAAGCTATGCCAACATTCTTAATCAATGTTAGCAGCAAGGATTTAGTCAGGAAACAATAACATTAACAGAAGTTATACATCTAAATTCATCTCTTTCCAGTAAATTAGGTCAATTCTTAAGAAAAATCATTTCTATCATTTATAATTTTGTTTCCACTGTAACAAGAAAAATATCTTGAAGTTTGCCAGTAAAAGACATTCACCACCAATGCTTTTCTAATTTAGAAAGCTTTGATATTTATTTAATTAAATAAATAAGGCTTTAATTTTGAGGTGCAATGTTGCAGGTAGTTGGATATGCAAATACTCTTAGATGCATGCTGTTTATCATTTAACTTATTGGTATGAACCTCATGGCTTACTAGAGTTAACAGATCACCTCTTTAGGAAGATATCTAGTATTTTGTGTATCATTGGGGAAAAAAGGAGCAATCCATACAACTGAGGAAGGGAACATGGTGTGCTAATCAACAGTCAGAAAAGACAGCTTGAACCATATAAAGCTATTCTAATTCACTAGCTCAGGGGCAAGCAATTATTTTGAGCAAAGGGCCACTTACTGAGTTTTGGCAAGCCATCAAGGGCCGCAACGGTGGCCCTGCTCCTTGACAGGTGCCTCCCCCCTGGTTGAAATCTTGGGACCTGAAGTCCTACCCCTAGCCACTGACCTTTCCCACCAGAAATCTTGCCCACCCCGAAGTACTCCTTTCAGCAAGGTTTTGCCATCTCGGAACCAGAAAAAAACTAAATTGTATTCTAAAAATCAAACATTTACTACAACATTCATCAGTTTCAAAAAAATATTTTTGTCCTGATTTACATGCATTTGTGTAGTGTACATAGAGGTGATTGCACAGTAGCTTAAAGTGAAGTCTTACTCTTGTATATTGTGGAGGGGTGTGGGTATGGGGTTTGTGGGGGGCTGTGAGTGTATGGGGGGAGAGTGACTGGGGAAGGTTGTGGCATGTGTGGAGGAGGAGGATTTGCCCACAGCCTCTCTGTGGCAGGCAATGCCCCCTGCAGCACTCCTGCCAGAAATGCACAGTGCCAGAGCAACTGGTGGGGAGGCTAGAGGGGAATGGTGGCAGCGGCAGGCAAATGGCTTTGACAGGTAGGGGGCAGTGGCTGCAAGTAGGTGTGTGGAGGGCAGCGACATCTGGG